AACCGATAAAATTGAACTGCAAAAGAATGTACTCATTTTCTCAAAATATGACAAAAATACTGGAGCCCTTCACTTTCCCTTTGAAGTACTTCCTTTTTCTTCTATAACCTGGTTGAAATGACAATATAATTTGTTCAACATTTCCAATAGCTTTTTTTTTTCCTTTCCAGAATTTTTATTCCATGGAAAAGTACATTCTGACTCACAGTGAAAAGACATTTTTGAATATCAAATTTTCCCAAGAAATGTAAACTGCATTTTAATCAATAGCACTGGTAAAGAAATAGAAAATGTTTTCACACTGAATAGCTTAAATGAGCGTCAGATACTGTCAACATAAGCAAAAGCACTTAAAAGTCAAGTTTTTTTGGAAAATAACTTTTTCCTAAGTTACTTCCTAAGATTCCAAGTAAGAGGAATCTTGCCGAATAAGACAATCTGGGTATGCAATCTTTTGTTAAAGTGCAAAAGCAATCTACCCTCTAGATCCCTGCTAATAACAACACTTAACTGTGAATCATGTGCAACGTGTTTTCAAGATAGAGTTTCTGTCACTGAGCTCCAAGTGATTTATTTCTGCAGTTGCCTCAGGGACCTAAGCTCAAGACCCAGAAGCAGTGAAATGCGATAGATCAGAGCGTGCCATAACCTTACCAAGTAACACATTAATCCAAAATAGGGTGGGATGATAAAAAGATTCCTGTCCAGCCAGAATCTGGGAACAGTTCAGAAGCTGTGAACGTCCACAGCTTCTCCTGCACCTCATGAAAACCAGCAGAAAGATGATAAAAGCTTTGCTTGATGAGGGGAACAGAAGTGCAGTGCTGAGGAATATAATTTGCAGGAGCTAAACAGTCCTGACTCTGCCTTTTAGGGTGTTCATATCAAGATGAAAGAGCTGCCATCCACCAGCTCTGACTCGATTACAGTCTTCTTCAGTCTTGACGATGACAAACTAATGCCTGAGCAAAACATGGGGGTGCAAGGGAAACTGGGAACAGCAGGCAATAGCTGGAAGAACTGGCAAGGCGACTCTTGCAAGGACTGATGCTTATCTATCACAGCACTAGATGGGCAGTGGTATTACATCACTGTGCTGCATTCTATCAATATGGGCAATAACCCACACATCAGCTGCCACTTCCAGTATTAAAATGACAAAGAAGGAAAAAAATAAATCAGCACATGCACACACAGAGGCCAAGCTCAATGAATTCACCAGAATTCAGTACATTAGAGACAGGTAAATACACCAGTGAGCAAGCTGCAATTAACCTTCCCAAGAGTAAAAGTACTATTTACTTTCAGTTTAACATTCCCAAGGATGCTTTCCAGGGCTCTCTATAGGGTATAAACATTTCCCTTCACATGGCACTTGCTGTCAGTGACAACAGTGAGCTATTACCATCCAATCACACTTGGGTCAGCCACACTCTGTTCCCACACCAACAGAAAAGCCAACCACACTTTTTAAGGTGAGACCTCCTTAGTCTCAGCTGCAGACATGTTAAGAATTAATAGCAATTGTGAAACCCCTCTGTTACCCCCTCCAAAAGCAGTCTGCCCTTAAAGACCAGTACTGCACAGGGGCAGCAACTGTACCAGCTGCTAGCAAAGTCCTTACACAAGCTAGAAATACAAAAAAACCCTTTGGAGTGCAGCATGGTTTAGAGAAACAAGGTTTGAGAAGTGTTTTAAGAGGCACCAACAGAAGATGCTTGAAGCCTCAACTGCAAAAGTACATTAACACAGCTCCTACTACAATTTGGAAGTCTCCTGTCATCGCTGAGGTGTTTACTGCTCCTCTTCATCCCAAATTCCCCTGACTCACTCTCCCAGCTCCTGAATTTTGATACTTAAGCTCAGAAATTAATGCAAGCCATTTGAATGCAGACAATACAGGAAAGCTCTGTGGGCTTTTTACCATTGTTGACTCACACTTCTGCCTGCGCTCCCTGCCCTGCCCAAGTAGCAATTTAAGCAAAGAATTTGCTGCTTTAAAATGGGTCAACGACATAAAGGTTTTTCCTTAGTTCCCAATCTACAAAAGAAGTTATCTGAAGTCACCAGCTGGAATCAGAACTTACCTCACAGATCATTTTCGGAAAGCAGATAAGGAAAAATCAGTTCTTTTGAATCCAAATGTCCATCTTTTCCAGCAGGCATCAGTATCCAGCCCTCACAAGTTCTGCCACTGAAAATAAAACCCAGGAATAACTTTTATACTTGATCCCCTTTCCTTTGTTTCCTATGAACTGCAGCATGTTAGCGCCCTCTGAAAAATCAAAGGATTGCTTTCCCAGGTGATATGAAAGGCTCTTAACCATTTCCTGCCTGGGCCAGCAAGACTCCTCCCAACTTCTCGCCACTGCAATTCACCCAGTAAGGCACTAAAATAAGAGAAACCCACGAGTCTTGCCTTGGAGAGCTGCAAGAACTGATAATGAGCTTCCAAATAACTCCTTTGAGCGTATCTGAACAAAGGATTTCAGCAGTGTCTCCCCCCATACAAAGAACAGCCTGGTCGCACCATACCCAACCACCTTAAAAAGGGAAGGAAGCCGCACAGTGCTGTCCTGCGAAGTAAACACGCTTCCCTACCTGCCCTCTTCTATGGTGAGTGCTGATGGGACAGTACCACCCAAGGAACCTGAAAAGTGAGGGGCGAAGTACTTGCCCGAAGGGATGGTCGTAGCCTGAAGTCACAGGAAGAGAAACCACCAGCCCCATGAGCTGCCAGGGCACATTACCTCAAATGCAACAGCAGAGTAAAGACCTTTTCTTTGCCATTATTTAGTTTGTAAGGTGGGGGGGGTGTTCCCTTATTTAGTGATTTTTTTGGTGGGTTTTTCCCCCCTTCCATTTTTAGATACAGACGCTGAATTGGGTACACATGATCAAGGACAGCAGGCCAGCTGTCCCTTCATAGAGGCTACAATCATTCTGTATTTACATGGCAAAACCTCAAGATTTGGCTCATCTATGTAACAGCAGGGGGAGGAGCACAAATCTGCCTCCTGAGGTGCCTGTTGGCACCTCCACACAGGGACTGTGCTGGGGACCAGCTTCACCCTGAGGGTGAACAACAGCACCTCAGCTCTCACAGCTCAGCCTCCTCTCCTCCTCCTTCCACCACCCCCAGTCCTGCTGCAAGCTGTGTCCGGCCCTGCAGCACAACCGCTGCTGAACGTACACCCACATCAGTCATTTATAGCAGAAACCAGGCTGGATTGAGCTGTGCGAACCCAAAGACCAGGTGCAGGGCAAGTCTCTCTACAGGCAGCAGCTGCCTAAGGCAGCAGAGCCCGCAGCCAGCACCCTCTACAGCGGTCTCCCCTAGCTATAAGCTCAGGCAGGTTCCCCTCTGCCTAGGGCATGATAAAGCCCTCGTTTCTATCATCTTTAAGCTCCCACTGATCGATCACACAGCCCCACTCACACACAGCCCCACTCACACACAGCCCCACTCACACACAGCCCCACTCACACACAGCCCCACTCACACACAGCCCCACTCACACACAGCCCCACTCACACACAGCCCCACTCACACACAGCCCCACTCACACACAGCCCCACTCACACACAGCCCCACTCACACACAGCCCCACTCACACACAGCCCCACTCACACACAGCCCCACTCACACACAGCCCCACTCACACACAGCCACCTCAGTCCCTATCACTCCACTGATGAGGCCCGCTGCCGCCTGCGCCTTTAAATGCTCCCAGGAGGCCCCGCCCCTTCCTTCCGCTGGCCCCGCCCCGCTGCCGCGCGGCTCTTCCGGGTCTGCCGCTTCCGGCTCCGGTTCCGTAGGGCCTCTGAGGCGCAGCGGCGGCGGTGAGGGGTTGTGTGGTGCCGGGCTATGGGGTGCCGTGGTGTGGGGCGGTCGTCGGGCTGGAGCCGCGCTCTAGAGGGTGCTGAGGCACAGCCCGGCATCCGCGGGACAGCGCCGGTCTCTCAGCCGTGATGGCGGGGGGTAGCTGAGGCAGGGCCTGGTGCGGAGCGCTGTGGAGAGCCGGGGGGCGGAACGCTCCAGACCTGTTCGAACTCCCTCTGCTGTGGAGATGTTGTCTGTCTCTTGGCGGCCCGGCAGCTCCCTTGTGTTCTGAGGGTGTTGTATAGGGCTTTGCCTCTCCCCGGCCTGGCCACTGTGACTGGGGGTGCTTAGCCCTGTTGTACAGGAGGGCCTCTCACTCCCTGCTCCAGCCCTGTGAGTCACACAACTGAGTCAAGGATGATAAAAGTTACCCTGAGTGTTGCTGCTTGTAGCATTTCATTCTATGCGAGTGTTTTTGTGTCCCTAAACTTTGCTTTTGATGTGTTGTGACATCAAAGCAAGTGTCATATAATCTTAGAAATTGGATAGAAGGAGATTGAACAGGTCAGTTGTGTTTAACAGGACACAGCTGGGTGGGTCATTAGTCTCTGTCAGTTTTAATATTGGTTCTAGTCTTATAATGTTTAGCAATCTATTTTGCCCATGACTCTTGCAAAAGTGATATAGAAAGCTCACCCTAATTAAATCAAATAAGGTAATGGAGTGTAATTACTTAGAGGAGTGAACTAGCTCAAAAGTGGTTACACTTACTGTAGGTCAGGCAACTCTTTGATATGTCATTTATGCCTTGAGAAGCTTATTAACTTCCTTAGGTTTCATCAGCTCAGATAATAGTGAGACACACAGGAGCAAATTGCTTGCTGGACCAGAATTGCAGAGTGTTCCCTGTTTGGGTTAACTTTGGTTATACCCAGACCTGATACATAGGTCTCCAGCAAAAACAGCTGCTGGAGTGAGAGTTAAATTCCTAGCTTCCCCAGCTACACATTTCTGTATTGTGCATGTGGCAATTGGCACATTCCGAAGGAGTTCTGTGGAATCTGTGGGATAAGATCCATCTTTATGTTACATCCATTTTTACTGTCATCCTGAAGTAATTTTCCCTGGTAATGGAAACATATTGATAACCCTTCTTATACTGTAAAGGCAGAGGTAGTGCAATATATGAAGTTTTGAGCTGCATGTATCTATCCTGGTTTTCCAACAAAATGACCTAATTAAGCTGTTAGTCTGAAATGGAAATCATAATTTTGATATTGATCAGAAACTGATTTTGGGGAGGATTTTGGCTAAAATAACACGTCTGCTTGCTTGTTGCCAGGCGCTGGATGACCATACCTAAACAATGTCTGTACCACGTGGAGCTGTCCATGCAAAATGGATAGTAGGGAGAGTAATAGGAACTAAAATGCAGAAAACTGCCAAAGTGAGAGTGACAAGGCTTGTGCTAGATCCGTACTTCCTGAAGGTAAAAGATGGTTAACAACTTGTCTTGCATGTTAATATTTGTTCTGTCTGGAGGAATGTTTCATTGATTTTGATGTGGATTTTTGATAGCTCTTTACAAGGCAAACTCCTTAAGGAACATGCCTAATGATTGTCAGTTGTGGGGATGACTGCAAACGGTGACAAGCAGTGTGTTGTGAGGGCACTTCCTTACAAATTACTGCTAAATGTATTTATTTGAAGTGCTTTGTTAATGCACTTCATTTGATCTCAGTTGAGAAGGTAAGTTTTTGTTGTTTCACACTTTGATTTAATTTTTCATATTGGAGCATGCTTTGATTTGGAAAGTTGACATTAGTCACTTTTACAGTGAATTTTGTAGCAGTTTTCCTTGTATGCATAATCCTAGGCATAGCTACTATTTGAATCTATACTGTGATGTGTTATGTCAGCTTTGTGTTTATCACTTCTTGTTAATGCATTTCAAACAGGGAGGTTAAAATTATTATTTTCTCCATTTTTAGATACAGAAACCTTGGTACATGTGGGTGGAATAAGTTGCCTTTGCTGACCAGAAGGTTAAGGGTAGAGTCAGGATTAGATAATCAGCCTGCTACTTTATGCAGCAGAAGAACCTGTTAATTTCTTTCTTAAAAGAAAGGTTCTGAATTCTGCCACTCCAGTAAGAATAAATACTGAATTTTTATATGAAAGAAAACTAACTGAACAAAAAAACTCAAATGACAAACATCAGAATACTGATTTCAGGACTGGTGAACTTTAAACATAGTAGGATGAATAAAAATTAACATTACTTCTTGAATTGTGGACTGCACAGGGAAATCATTCAGCTTGGAAGAGCCAAGGCAACTGTCTTGCTGAAGCAGTGCTGATGTGAAGTGTCCTTAGGAGAGGAAGAGTTAACACAGCAGAACAAGAGAGCATCTAATTTTAAAAACTATATAAAGCTTTACTCCTTAGTGAAATATAGTTTGTTTTATATTAACTATATATTTGCCAATTGCTTAATTTTGAAATCTAATGCCACTGTTTCTTTTTTTCCTTCTACAGTTCTTTAACAAACGAAAAACCTATTTTGCCCATGATCCGTTGCAGCAGTGTGTTGTTGGAGACATTGTTCTTCTGAAGGCTTTGCCTGAGCGAAGGAGCAAACACGTGAAACATGAACTGGCTGAAATTGTTTTCAAGGTTGGAAAAGTCATAGATCCAATAACAGGGAAACCCTGTGCAGGAACGAGATTCCTTGAAAATCTGTCAGATTCAGAAAATCTGACCGAGGCAGATACTACGTATCTCAGTGAAAAACTTCAGGAACTTAAAGTTTGCTCAACAGACAAATAGGGGAGAAGTATTTAAACCGAGAGCCCTGCTGTTGTATGTTACATGTTTCAGTGAGATCTGTAGCCCAAATAAATAGTAAACATAGTTGCTTATAACAAGAGATATCAATCTTAGACAGATTGATAGGCACCTCAAATCTTTAAATTAAAATAAGAGAAAACAGTTTAGTGTTAACAGTTCATTTTGTTGCATGTAGTTTTTCCCCAAGCCTTGACAGGTCTAAAAGCCAACTGCTCACCTGGAATGACTCTTCTGTATGGAGAAAGACAAGAATATAACTGTATAATGTTTAGGTTTGGTGGGAGGGTTATACTATTTGATCTGTATTTCAGACAGTTTTTTGTGGTTTCTGGGATTACTTAAGATAATGCTATTAAACCTTTTAAAAGGAAGTGTAGAATTATAAAACAAGCTACCTGCATGTGTCCTCATTTCCTCTTACAGTTGCTCATACCACGTAGCAGTATCTTCTGCATTCCAAAATCTCTGACTCTCAGGATCACTGTCATTTGCCTTTATAATGGCAGTAAGGTGAGAATAAAAACTTTGAATAGCTTAGCATGCTTACCTTTGTAACCTGCCCAAAGCAAGTATTTAGTTCTGCAAGAGATTGGTCTCTTTGAGCTGCCATCAGGAAAGAGAAGCTGATGGGAATACAAAGCCGAAAAAGCAGACGTAAAGATGGTTAGATTTAGTCTTGCCAGAAAAGCTAATTGAAACAACACATTTTGGGAGAGGTACAGGTGCTGATTTGTTGCATACTTTAACATAAAACTAGAAGGCCTTAGCAGTTAATGATTAAAGATAACTTTATCCTGCTACAGTTCAGGGAGTCTTGTGTCCCGTCTTCCAGGTCCTAAAGCAAACCAAGAGTGTGTGTCTGTTCCAGCAGCTTTGTGTTGCCAGCTCTTTGTTCAGATCTAAAGGGGCATCTGCCTCAAAATGCAGCACTGTGGGGACAGCATTCCATGTCCCTCTATGGAGGGGAGAGTGGTATATCAAAGCTATGAGAAAGCCTTTTTGAAGCATCTGGCTGTGGAATTGGTCTTTGTTTAAGATCAGAAGCTAAACAAGGTTTATCTGAACAGACTTCCTCTGACCTAAAATAATCTTTCTTTAAGAAACTGAGCCATATTATGCTGGTAATTGTGTTCTCTTTTATTATTTGCCCTTCAGTTTCTTTCACCTGTATGAAATCAGTTTCAGCTGCCTGCAGTCTGCTACCAAAGTCCAGTTGAACTCAGCAGATTATCTGGGCCAAAAACTTGCATTTCCTTCAGTGCTTCAAACCAGAAAGTCCCACTCTTTGAATGCCAGTCCTCACATCCTGTCCCAGGATGACAAGACACTTCAAATTAAGTAAATCAATAATGTGAACATGGTCTCTGACTTTGAAGAAGTGTCTTAAACATATGGCTGTAGGTTATTCTTGTTGGTATGTATGTTGAAGTGGTTTAGGTTGATGCAAATGACTCAGTAACTGTAGCTGGCTGATTAAGGTGCTTGTGGAAGTGGAAGGAAATCTGGGCTCTGACTTCAGCTCCAGCGAATGTAAAATGTGAAACTCCATCCCTAGCAGAGATTGAGAGAAATGTGAGCCAGGCTGGAGGGCAGCCCTGGGCTGTGGGAAATACACTGAAGTTGTATCTGAGCAGGCAGTAAAGGCACTTAAAACCCTCAGAACTTGGGATGTGACTGTTCTAATAGCTAGATGTGTAATGCTTGTAAGAAATAGAAATAGTTTCCTGTTTAGTTTATGAGTTACATTTACATATAGTTGGGGAAGTAAATCTTTCCCTGTATCTCCTGTGATTTTTCTTCATTAGCTGTTGAAATACTACTCTTTTGTTTGAAGATTGCTCAATCACAGAAGGTTGCATGTGGTTTCCACTTTACAGGTGGGCTCTTGGAGGGCTGCTCTGGAGCTCAACGTGTGGTTAAATGTACTTAGCCTTAACTTGTTTTTTAAAAGAATGATGGCAACTGTCGGTTAAACTGGCTTTTAAAGTCACCACAAGCATTGTATGTCACTGATGTTAAAGGACATCACAGGTGCCTCTGAGTGCTGATAATGGAAACAGTGATGTGATTGATGTGGGTGCTCTGCAGGAAGGCAAGGTTTGCTCATTAACTTTTCGGTGTTTATTGGCTAGTTACTTTTAGAACTGACCTTTATTAGCCTAATTACAAGTTTGTGTTTAAAGCTATTTAAAGGTTTGAGCTAGTACCAATTTACGCGCCACCAATTTAACCAGGTGAAACACGGCTGTGGCTGAGCACAGGGCAAGGACAACACTTCAGCCGCACCCGGGTGAAAGACGCGTTTGGTGCGTCATATGAATCTAACTCATATGGAAGCGTTTCCATATGATTCTAAACCCGTTTTATCGGGACGCATCCCGAACGCCGCCCTCCGCTCACCCCAACGCGGGGTCCTGCGCTGGGGCGGCCCGCGCATGCGCGCAGGCGGGTGGTGCGCCCCTCGCGTCCGGCGGCGGCGCTGCAGCGCCCAGACCCCCAAACCACCCCCCCCCACCCCGGCGCAGGAGGGAGGCGGCCGGAGCAAGATGGCGGCGAGAGTGCTGCTGCGGCGGAGCCTGGCGGGAGCCAGCGCCGTGCCGTGCCTCCCGCCCAGCGGCGGCCTGGCCCTCAGGTGAGCCTGAGGGGGTGAGGCGGGCGGGAGCGGGCCGCCGAGGGAGGATGGAGACGGAGCTGACACCGCCCGCGCCTCCCCTCGCCCCGCCGCGTAGGCTTCCCCCCACCCCCTTTCCTGACTGGAAATGGCGCCCCGCTCGCCAGGGCAGCTGACGGGCCGGGCCCGCGGCCCTCCCGTGGGGCGGGGAGTGCGGTCCGCTCGGGGTGTCCTTCAAGGTCATGGGCCCCAGGGCCAGCCCCTTCTCCTCCCGAGTCCGCCCCTGTCCCGCCCCACTCCACCCGTGCCCCCCGTTCTGGCTGCACCGGCACCGCGCCCCTGCAAGGGATGGGGTGCACCCTGCGGCCGCGTATGGCCGGGTGTCGGGGGCCGTAGCACCCTGCCCACATGTGTTCCTGGTGCTCAGGTGTAGGGATGCTCTGCACCCAGACATCCCTCCAGGGTCAGGGTGTGCACCTACTCTGCATCCCAGCTCCAGAAAGTAACAGGGTGCGTGGGCACCCTGCATCTCATGTCCTCTGGTGTTGGGGTGCATGGCCACACTCAACAACAAAACCCCTCGGTGCTGGCATGCACAGCTGCTGCACATGGTGCCAGGCTGCACCCCTGCCCAACAGTCATGTTTCCCCCAGTGTCAGGGTGCATGGCACCAGAATCTTGCCTTGACCACAGCTACACAAGGACTTCTGCATGTGTGTGTGTACCCCTTGGGTGTGAGGGAACGTGTGTTCATACTGCCCTTAGGAGCTGGGCTGTGTGTGCAGGTGCATACACCCCGCAGGTGCCAGGGCACACACGCAGACACATCATCATGTTTGGGGTGCAGATATTTGCATGCCCACGTGCCTGCTGTGTGCAGGGTCAGACACATGCGCACCTCCTGGGTGGCAGGGGTACACACAGAGCTCTCAGGGCACAGATGTGCACACGTGTTGGGTGTAGGATGCAGACACACATGCTCCCTGGGCACCGGAGGCAGAAGCGCCAAAGCTGGGATGGATCTACATGCATTCTCCCTCCCTGCTGTCTCAAACCTCAGTATGGGCAGCAGCCCCTGTGCAAGGCTAAAGGCATCACTGCAAGCAGCTGTTTATAACAAGAACGGGGAGAATTGTGGAGTGTGTATGTGGTGAGGTGTTACATGCATGTCTTAGTTTCAAATAAACATTGTGTAGACCACAGATCAAAACCTGCCAATTACAGACAAGTTGTTTTCTCTTCCAGGCAGACATGGGTTATTACAAAATCTAAGTAATTCTCCAGATACCTCCCACCCAGTTTGTGCTAAAGCAGAAGCTAAGGGGGATAGAAGTGTTTTCACCGTTGTTTTTAATCTAAGCAAGTTATCCAGCATTACCCTTTTGTGTTCACAGCCCCAGATCTTTGTAGCAAAAAAGCTAAGCCCATAGTTGACATTTGTAGGGTAAGAACATGTTAGCAAGTCAAGCAGTGCCTTTAATCAGTATTGTTCCCAGAAAGTAAAACAACTGTGAAGTGTGATGGTAATTCCATATAGAGTCTCTACATGCATTCTGTGTGTATATTCACATTTTCAATAGTGGTTTTTGGGTTTTGGAAAACAATTTGATTCTAATATCTGTTTATTTGGTACAGGTATTATAATACTGTGGGGCATAATATGTTGACTAAAAGTAGATCTTTTGGATGATGGATTAGTTTTGAACTCATCTGTGGTTGATGCTTACAACTAGGAGTCCAGTTGCTAATCTTGGGTACATGCTGCCCACACAAATGAATCAGCAGTCAGTGCAGGACTTCTTGATTTGTGGGTGTCTAGAAGGAGGCTGGTAGTGTAGGACTTCTCTAGGGATATGCATTAAAAATAGAGCCCTAGCATCTCAGGTTGGATGCAGTGAATATTTCATAAATATAATAAACTGAATAAATTTATATATCTATAAATACCATTCTTTATTGTAAATAAAGTGTATATTTAGGTGGGTAGTCATGATTTGTTAGTCCTTGTTCATCAGGAACTTTACAGTTGCTAGGTGAAAGATTTTATATAAATGTAAAGTATTACTTCATAGTATTGAAAATTAAATATACCTCTAGATTTAGGTTCAGTTGGACATCCAAGACATGAGACTCTCCCAGTTTCCGTATTATCCCCATAAGTCCAGCTTATTCTTGCTGCTGCTGAAGGTGGTTCACAAAAGGAAGCATCATGATTATTTGTCTCTTTCATCCTCAAAGGTTGCTGCAAACAATAATCCTCGTAGAAGAGCATTCTAAATCTTAGTCTGCTAATTCTGTTTAATCAAGGGGAGGAAATGGTGATCATTTACAGATCTGAGTTGGAAAAAACCAAACACTGCAGGACTGGGATTGAGTTCTGTCTCTGAGAGCCCTGTTTGCTATCCAGTGAGCACTAATGCTTACTGTAAGGAAGATTGGATTTATTGGGTAGGGTTTGCCCCCCATCATCTGGGACAGCTTGTGTTCCTGTGACACCTGTGACAACACTACTGCAGGCAACAGCCTTATCATGGAATGCCCTTTTAAATGCTTGTACTAGGGAATAGCTGCTCAGCTTTCAGCACGGTAACATGTTTGTGTGTTTGCCTAGGGCCAAACATTTTCAATAAGTGCACCAATAAGGTATCTACCCATTATTTCTTAGCATTGAAGGTCAGCTCAGCTGCAGTTGTTCTGACTGTTACGGTTTCTCTGCTATGAAATAGCTTGTTTCCTCCATCCTGCACCCACAGGGTGAACCAGTTCTTCATGTTCTTTTCAGGCATTGAGACTAAAAGGTTGATTGTTGAAAAACAGGGCTCTTGTGAGCTATTCCTATGTAATACAGACAAGCAGGTTCATGAAGGTTTTTTTCCTAAAGGAAGTTGAGATTTTCTTTCCCTATATTTTACACCCCCCTCAAATGATTGTCACAAGCTTTTGCTATCTGGAAGACAGTTTTACAGCTGAAGATTGAATTGATAGCTACCTTCTGGAGCTATTAGTAATTAACAGTGAAACAGTGAGGTGGGAAGAGGTTTAAATTTCCAGCTGTGGTGCTACGGTTTTAGTATGTCAGAGAAATATTTCAGCATTTCAGGAGAAACCCCATATCCAAAAGAGGCAAATTGAAGGAGGTGCTTCTTATGAAAAGCAGAGAAGACATTTGAGCTTGGGGTCCCCTGTCATACATTGTAGAGAAGCAGTTGAATACATCAGCTTTCTTGTCCTCCTGCACACAGGTTTTGGTGAATGAGGGTTTTTCTGTCAGCTGGAAAAAAGCGTAATTCCGTTAACACGTTATTTAGAAAAAGCACAGTTAATGGTAATGTTTTGTGTACTGTGGTGTGAAGAAAAGTGGTGCTATTTTGGAGGTGAATAGAAACTGCATAAAGTGTATGTAGAAAAAGAGTGAAATTTTGCTTCAAAGGATGGGAAATTGTAAATGTTGCACAAAGAATGGGATGTGTACCCCTACATAGTACATACACTTGCCAAGATTTGGAATTGGAATATTTGCAGGCTGTTTCCTGCCACTTGTAATTTTTCCCAAATTAAACTTGCATTAGATTTTTTGTCTTGAAAGATGTGCTATTCAACTCTTCATTTTTGGAGCTATGTTTAAAGAACATATGGCAGTTACTTTCCTATTTACACTGTACGCATTCTCCCTTACGTACACTGTCTTCTTGCTCTTTTTCACTTTTGTCTGTGTACATCAGAGCAGACCCAGCCTTCTTGAGTAAAGACGTGGGATTAAAAAGAAGATGAATAGGCAGCAAAAGCAGCCATCCACCCATTCCCTGCTGCACACACAGAGAATAATTGTGGATGGTGGATGGTTAACTGTTTGGCTCTTCCTCTACTAAAATGGTGTGAAAGAGGGTGAATCTCAGCAGGGAAAGAGCTGCCCTTACCTTTATAGGAAGTGGCTCCATGGCAAGTTTTAGTAACAGATGTATGTAACTGTGTGTTATGATCCTGTTTGCATTAAACTTGATTGTGGGCATTTTCAGTGACAGTCTCATGTACTTGTTAACATGTAGGGGGCTGGCATCTTCAGCTAGCAGACCTCGTGAAGACAGTTGGTTAAAGTCGCTATTTGTTCGCAAAGTCGATCCAAGGAAAGATGCTCACTCCAACCTTCTAGCCAAAAGAGAGACCAGCAGTCTGTATAAACTACAGAGTGAGTGATACCTTTGTATTTCCCATTCCCATTTCTTCATTCTGTTCCTGCATTCCTCACGTAATGTTGTTGTTTCAGTTCACAATGTAAAACCAGAATATCTAGACGCCTACAACAAGCTTTGGTAAGTGTGTGTGTTATGTTTTCATGGTTTAGACACGTTGATTTGATCATAAACTGTATTGGCAAATATAATTATTTAGAGGGGAGGTGGAAGAATTCTGCTTTTACTTTCAGGGTGTGGGGTTAAATAGATCATATTTTTCTTGGCGAGAAATGGCAATAGATACTTTACTCATTTCACCCCCTGCCTTCCCTCTTGGAGGTATCATTTTCTAAGCTGCAATTTAGGATGATGCCTGTTGTGAGCACACTGGTGGCATTTGTTGGAACAGCTCTGCCCCTTCCCTTAGTTGTCTTACAGTTGCTGGTCCATGCAGGTAGATCCTGATATGTTAGGATGTCCCACTCCAGCTGCCATGTAGGAATGTGTTCAGAGTGGTTGTCTGCATACAGGAAGGAAAGGGAGAGGTCAGTGGTAAGTAAAACTACATGCTAGTATGAAACTGAAGTATAACTTTGAGGAGATTTTAAAAACCATGGGGCTGACTTTTTCTCAGCTCATCTATGTCCTTTTATAAAAGTAGTGCTGCTGAGATCTGCTCCTAAAGAGCTATGCAAATCCTTGAATAGGATCTTGGTATTGGGGTCATATCTTCAAAGGGAGCAGTAGTTAATGGCTTTTCCAGAAAGCTACAGCTTTATTTTAGTAAAATTTTAAATTCACTATTCAAGGATGAAAGCGCAGAAATCTTGGTCCTGTTCTGCCTTTATAATCACTGCTCTGGAGCCAGCACAACTGCCTGTTCAAGAGCTGTGTGTTTAGATTTGGAAATGCAGTGAGCCTCATGTTTCTAAACAGCAGTGCTGTCTCACTGACAGGGATCATCTTGTCAGTTAAACAAAACATTCTTACCATAATGATACCCTACTGCAACCAATGTTTTTAAGTGTGCTATATCAGTGAGAACACCATCTGGGCTGGAGGGTGGGGAAGGAGTTCACAACTCCTAGTTTAGGTCCTTTACTCTGTTACTGGTTGGCTGTACTAGCCTTTGGCTAGATAACCCAAAACTCTTTTCCTTCCTATACAAACATAGAAATCCACTAGAATAACACTCAGTCATAAGGTATATTTAGCTTTTTTGTTTAAAAACAAAATACAGAGAGAAACGAAATTAGCATTCAGCCAGCTTTCTGTCTAAAAGCTTAATATAAACATGTCCAGTTACACAGGATGGAACCATTTCTCTGTGTTATCTCATGAGCTACCTAAATAATGAGTGAAAGCAGAGGCTTTTATTTTCAAGGAAAGAGACAGTAGCAAAGAAGGAAGTTACTGACAGCAATCAGATGAAGTACATGTGGTTAGATTCATCCTAATCCAGAGCAAATTTAAGTATTCCAGGGAAGGAGAAAAGAATAGAGGAATAAAAAACCCAAAGCCTGTCCGAACTTCCCTCCCTCCTCTCCCTAAAGGAAAGATGAACAGATTACTTCTTTATAGCAAATCAGAATACAGATTGGTCATTATGTTTTAATAAAGAAATAATTTAATGAAGACAGTTATGAGAGTGCTGGATGAATGACTGTGAGTAAGGACCCCTCCAGAAAAATGAAGAACAGTTATTTTTAAAAAAGAAAAAGGTGGCATCTTTTTTAAAAAAGTTTTAAGGTATTATGTGGTGGGTTTTTTTCCTATAATTTGCAATAAAATATATTTTAGGGTTATTGTAATAATCTAACATTGCTGTTGAAAGCTGCCTTTCTAGGACCTCACTATGCTTTGCAAAAATGAACCGATGGTGAAACAGCCTTGGAGAGTCATTCTATCTTATTTACACTGTGTAGTGAAAAATGGTGAGGTACAAATTGATATGAGAGTTGCTCAAGGTTGTCTAAAAAGTCAGTGCCAGAATCAAGAGGAAAACTCCTATCTAATACTCTCAGCCCAAGGCCAGCCTTTTATTTGATATTGTGCAGAGACTCATTGCCTATGAGCCAAACTGAGTAAGAGGGGTAATTATTCAGGGGAAAATAGGAAAAGGTGAAGTTCAACCAGGCTAATTGCCTTATTCATCAAAGTACAGTGCAAGGAAAGCTGTCTTCAGTGAGTCAGCAATCAGTGAAGCTTCTCCTGAAGCTAATGTAGGTCACTTTTAAAGTTTGAAAAAGCCATTAGGAATACTGGCAATAGTCAAACAGAAATGTTGCGTGGGGGTATTTGGAAGGCAGTTCCACCGGATGCTTCAACGGGTGAGTTGCCTCAAATGAAAACCACTTTCTGAAATGGTAGAAAGGAGCAAGGCGGTATACTATGAAGTACAATAGTTATTTGATCTGTCAAAATACTTGGTTTTATTCATTCACCTCCACAGTTAATAGCATTGTAACTGATACAGAAGACTGTCCTTTGCTATTGTTGTGTGTTCTGCCTCCCTTGATAAAGGAAAGCTTTTCCCAAAGCATATCACCCATGTAGTTAATCTGTGTTTTCTGTAACTGAGACATCCTGATATTTATTTTCCTAATGTTGGATAACCTTTTAGGTGACAGACATAATGTATTGCATCGAAAGAATTCTACTATGTTGTGTATGTGTCATACAGTCTTAAGAAATGGTAACATTTCCCTTAATTTTCCATAGTGTTGTAGCTGTCTTTCCCCTGTGTAGCAGATCTTTGTATTTCAGCTTTCTCTTCTGAAAAGTAGAGCTTATGAATTTTCATACCATAATATAAACATGTGGTGATTTGTTATACATATCAACTGTAGCCTCCCTGAAGGAAATGCAATATAGTGTCTGTATTCCTTGTTTTCAAGTCAAGAGGTGCTGCCAAAGATTCATGAAGAAAAACACTACCCATGTGCACTGGTGGGGACTTGGAACACGTGGTACGGAGAGCAAGATCAGGCTGGTAGGAGATAGAAGTACAACAGAATGTAAAACCATACAAGTGAAACGTGTGCTTGGCAGGTTTCTTCTCTTTAAATCATCTCTGTTGACAGTAAACCTTTAGCAATGTATACAGCAAGGGTGTGTGTGCATCACTTATCAATAGTCATAACATTTACAGTGCTTGCTTTTTGTCTTGTTGAGTTTGACAGTAAAGCATTAATTCCTAAAATTTGTTCTATCGTTAATACACTTTCATGTTTTCCAGGTGGTAGATTAACAGATCTGGGGAATGCTTGTGAAATGTGGTCCTCTAATATGTTGTGGGCACAGATCATGTTCCTGAATATTTAGGGTAAAGGCAAAGGCTTACAAGGACAGAGTTTATCATGCACTGGCCAGCATGAAAAGCTTTACTCTGACTTTCATACTGTAATTGCTGTATGATACCAAAGTACAAATCATTCACGTCATCTGAAAAAGAAATGATTGCATTGTAGATTCAACAATAAGCTAGGCCTTTACTGGTAGAAAGTAAGAATATTTCTGTTCATGCTCATAGAAGGATACTGCCTAAGTGTGCAGACTGAAAGTATGTTGGAACTATTAATGACTGAAGAGCTGCTACAGAGGTAAATACAAAGAGTCTAGTGTAAAGAGAAAACCTGAAAAACTCCCTAGGCTCTTGGAAATGGAAGGAATGGGAAACCACAGAGTGGTATACTGATATTTGTTACCTAGTTTGTTATGTAGCTCCATTGTTAGAGCTATGCTAATATCGATGTAATTGCTTCGTTATTAAAACTACACTCATGTACACATGAATTCGTCCTGCATTCACAGCATATTGCAATATTGGCACTGAACAAATGCAAAGAAGTAGCAGTAGATAAACCAACCAATGTCTGAGAAACAAGGCTAAAAGTTGAGGGGAAATTGGGGAATAAAGACAGTTGAAATGAGAATATTTTAGCCAAGTCTCATCTGTTGCTTCTGTAACATATTAACACTGACTGTATCTGTAATTGCATCCATAGCTTGCCTTGAAAATGTTATTGCAGCAGTTCTAGCGGTGTAATGAAGCAGAGTATTGGGTTTTGATTTGTTCAGTATTTGTGCCCAGGCTATGTTAGTATTAGGTGGATAAATCAAATTTGCCCTGGGGATGAGACAGCAGAAGCAGACGCACTGCATGAATCTGCTATCATAGTGAAGTGCCTTACATTAGTCTCCAGTTTGCTCTCCTGGAGAGAACAGGCACAGGACTGCTTTAGAGGAGAGAAAACAGCTTTTGTGACTCTTTGAGGTGAAATATTGTTGCCTTGCTATATTAAGTGCTTGTAAATACATCTTGTTATAATTTATTAAAGACATCTATTATGATTTATTAAAGAGAGAATGCTTTGAAAAAAACATAAATGTGGATATGTGTTCTCAATATGTTTTTATGGGGAAGATCCTAGCAAATGTAACAATTCTGGCATGTTCAGATACCTTCTGCCTTTTTTAATGTAATGTTTACTGCAAAACCATCATTTGCATCATTTTTCGTGTCCTACAGAAAGTGTATTGCTTTTTGTGCTTACTGAATTAACAAGTCTACCCCTCTATTGCTCTGAGATGAAATTGGTATAAAGCACATTTCTGAACTTAAATTATCTTCTGAAATTGAGGATACTTGAAACTCCAGTCACATAAAGTTATCCCAAAGCATGGCAACAAAAAGCCCTTTCAGAAATTGCCCTGTTATCTTCGGAGTAGATGGCAAAATTTGCCAAGAGAACCTTTTTCCAAAAGCAGATGATTCCAATATTCTTAAAATGCTCCCAATTCACAAAGAAAGCATGTGTAGTGCTTTCTTTAATGCCATTTACTTTGAAACATGTTACCTGATTTCTGGGTTTTGTATAATTCTGTAGTATGAACAGCATTTTATACTGTGACATTCCATAACATTTAGCACAGGTCTGTGACATCCCGGAAAAAGCTTCCTTTTGTCTGTTTCAGTTCATCTGTGGAGATATGAGGGAGGGTATCCAGCTCTCAATGAGGTCATGAATAAACTTCGTCAAAATAAGGTAAAATGTGTTCATTTTGTTAAAGTTGGTTATTTTACTCAGAAGAGAACAAATAATAGTTAAAGCGAGAAGCTGCACATTTGGGTACCTGCGTTTGCTTCAGTATCTCATCCCTTCCTGAAAGAAACCTCTTTGGAAAAGGGTCTATTCTCATATTTAGGAATACTGAGGTTTAATGCCTGAATACTTTCTGAAACAAGTTCACCTAGTGCTATGGAAACATACCAGTTGAAATCTTCAAATATGCCAGGGGAATTTAGATGCCTTTGCAATTTAAAGGATTTCCATGTCCCAGAATCCCAAGACAGCATTAAAAACCCCTATGCCACCACATGGTAGACTGCTTTTTGTTGTTGAAACAGAACACACACGTTGACAGTGATCCCATTGGTTTTTAGGAATTCACAGAGTTCCGCAAAGAAAGAGGTAACATGCTCCTGTCCCGCAAGAACCAGTTGTTGTTGGAGTTTAGTTTCTGGAATGAACCTGTTCCCAGAGCGGGGCCTAATATTTATGAACTGAGATCCTATCAACTTAGAGTAAGTTTAATTGTTTTCTGTTTCTTTTTTAAGCTCTATGCTATTGCAAAAGGTTCAAAGCATGTTTATACAATATAGATGGAATACAGACCTCATCTTAGAAATGTGGTTCTTATCAAAGCTGGTGTCTGAGTTGGTCTCAAAGTGGGGGGTCCAAAATGAAGGCAGGCTCCAACAAGATACTAATATCTGCAGGGCTGAAACCCCTGTGTTTTCATTTGAAGGAAACTTCAGGCAGAAGGAAGTAATACAGTAAGTAAACAGAATAATTACAGATGATTATACTATGTTTATCACTCGAAGTGATTTTGTTAATACATAGTGTTTTCCATATGTAAATGTTGTGAAAACTGTCCAAGTATTCTAACTTTCTTTCAACTACAGTTTAACAGTTTGTTTTGGTTTTTGTAGCCTGGAACAATGATTGAGTGGGGAAATTACTGGTAAGTGTCACTTTAGCGCTTGTTTTCTCCTATTTGGGAGCCTTATGTTAAAAAATCATGAAGTGGAGGTGGCAGGATGGTACCAGTGCATTTCAGTCACCCAGTTAATGGCCTGCTTCTGTACTTAAGCAACTTGTAGGACAGTTCTTTGACCCTTAATTTATCCTTCAAGGAAAGAAAGGGGAATTCTGTGTGCAAACAACACTAAGGGCTTTATAGTTTAGCTTTCCTTCATATAACCCTTTTAGTTTGCTGTAACATAGCAGAAACCATTTATTTTCATCAAAAAGCATAGTGAAGGTTGCAGTTAACTCCTTAAGACAGTGTTGATCTTTCACAAACCACAAGAAGCTGACATACTTTTGGTTTGAATGGGCTAAATCTTTGCTCTTTTAATCTTTAAAAGTCAAGTTGCTTCTTGAAAAGCTGATGGGCAGCACATTTCCATTTTAATATCTAGGTTAAAATCATTTGAGACAGCCTTCTGTTGAGTATATGCTGCTGATTTTGTCTTACTGAAAACCAATGTAAGTTTTGTTCAGTTTGCATTCACTGTCCTTGCAATTCTAATGGTTGATAGAGACACCATTTGAAGTATTTTCAAGTAGTTTGACAAAGGTGAGGACTTGGATTTTCAGACGTGTCATTGTAATTGATGCAATTTATGTCTATAGTAGTAGCCAGTCTGTTTCAGAAGTTGCAGCAGATTAATACTTAAGTATTGATCTTACTTACACAACAAATGGAGTGTTGCATAGGACAGCTGCATTCAAAGGTCTGTGTGAATTAAAGAGTTGTATTTCACTTCCCCAAAATCTGTGGTAAATGAGGGTGATATGACTGAAACTCAAGGATTTTGTTTTAGAAGAACCTGCTATAACAATGACATGCCACTTTCTGCTGGCCCAGCAGTTATCTTCATACTGAATCTAACCTTGAAGAATGACTAATGCACAGTCTAGTAAAACCATGGGCCTGCAATTTTCACTCATTGTAACAAGATACTTAGGTATACTTTAAATACTTAGTGCTGAGGAGCAGTGTATTGCAGAGGTTTTTCTTATTTTTAATTGTGGATACTGCAGATGCTGTTTAACACCTCACGTGCTTTTCAATGCTGTTTTCCTTTTGGCTATCGCCTATTTCCTACCCAGATCTGCTGGTTTTAATGGCTGCTTTGCTCTTCTCTAGGGCTCGTGCAATTCGTTTCCGACAGGATAATAATGAAGCAGTTGGAGGCTTTTTCTCACAAATTGGACAGCTGTATATGGTTCATCACCTCTGGGGTAAATCTGTGTTCTCTGCTTTTATCTCACTGAATCAGCCCCCAGCAGACTGTTGCCTTTGCCCAGAAGACAAGGTTTTTACAAAAGGCAAAGGAGTATCTTTAAAGGTTGTTGGGATTTTTTTGTTTTGCATTGACAGTGCTGATGGTTTTGTGTAGGTAACTTTATTCTTCAAACAAGCAAGCAGAAGCGAACATTTCGTGTTTCATTGTCTTTCCATCCACAGTTTCTCATGGCCCTTTCTTATTAGGGACTTACTTGTTTGCTTTCAATAACATAAGCATGACAAGCAATATCCTGCCATCTCTTCTCCATCCCCGTTCATGCTGAAGTCAGGTTTTTACAGTTTAGTTTCAAGCATCACATATACCACACCTACAAAAAGGAAAGTCAAGCGTTTATTTACATTACTACATCAAGGTGTTTTGGCTTTCTCTGTATGTCAGTCTCCACAAATGCTTTACCTGCTTCTACCATTGTTTGAACTTGAAGAAACTCATCATCTAATATTTAGTTTAGGAAATACACAGTATTATCTTCACATCTCAACAATTCAGAGTATTATATTCCAGCATTAGAAATCTGACAGCACTCGTGTAAGCTCTAGCTTTATCTGTCTTACCTGTGTCTAAGGCATTCCCTCCTTTCCCCAGTTCCTTCTGTTTGTGTGACTTTGGGAGCTCTTCGTTTTTGTGGAGAAGAACTTCTGGCTTTATTCCTTCCCAGTGTTTGCAGCCTCCTACTTATGCACTAGAATACTTTTAAGGGAGCTATTCATGTGTAGACAGAAAAAGAGTTACTTCTAAGCTTTGTGCTTGTTGTTTTCCCTCACCAGCTTACAAAGATCTCCAAACCAGAGAAGATATAAGGAATGCTGCATGGCATAAACCAGGCTGGGATGAGCTAGTCTACTACACAGGTAACCTATTAACTTCACTGGAATGCTGGAGGTAGACTTTTGTGCATGCCATCGTTTTTCTTCTTTAGTGCATTGCACAGTGCTAACTTTTGCATCTCTGGTGCTTGTGTCTGTGTCCAAAATGCAGGGAGCCCCTAGTGAAATTTATATTGAATTATTCTTTATAATATTTATGCAGTACAGGAGCCTTGTTAAAGGCATTCCTTTGAAAGGGGAATTTCAACTTTGGAACTAGAAGCCAGGAGATCTTTGAGATCAAAGATAGCTTTCATAACAAACCTCACCAAAGTGTGCTCAGCACCACACATTTGGGTACCACAGGGTGCATTTCAAAGGAAGTATACCAGAAAAATATAAGCTAACTTTCATTATGGTGAAAGGGACTAGAACTGAAATGCTTCAGTTACAGGAATGTCAGTGGCTGCTGATGACTTGGCATGCACTAGCTAGGAGAGTAACTTGAGGGTAACAATAGCAGTTCAAACCGAGTGTGCAGAGCTGCTCATGATCTTTGTTAGTGACGTTCAACCCTGTCTCCCTTTTTTTTCAGTGCCCCTTATTCAGGAAATGGAGTCCAGAATCATGATACCATTGAAGATATCTCCGCTTCAGTAAAGTCACTGATTTACTTGTGCCTACATAGATAAAGTGACAAGTATTTGTCTTAAATTAATTTATGGTATACATTGTATATCATAGTCTGAAATATAAAAGTACTGTATTAAGCTTATAAAAGAGACCTCTTTTCTTCAGAATCTAATGACTTTTTGCCCTTAGGATTGTACCAAGAAAGCAAGAAATACAGGACTGGAATTAAGTGTTGGTTAATTGAAAACAAGTACAAAGACATACATGAGTTCCTCTGTGAGACAGCTCCTCAGGTTAAGTATGGCATACAGTATTTAATATCTTCTGTTACATAGACAATGCCCAGTGTTCACTAACAGCAACAGAGTTAAGTGTTACAGTTGTTGTGGCCTTTGTCTAGCATTATGTGACTGCAGATTCTAAAAGCAAACGTGGAAGTTCTGAGACTTGAAGCTCTGAAGCCCTCGGGCAGCTCTGAAATACACCTTCACTGTTCTAGCAGGCCTGAGTCAGTAAGTAGCTCTAAGTTTACCAATAGGCAGTCATGAACTGAGGATAGTACTCTCTGCCAGGTGATAGCTTATGGACAGAGAACAGGGCATTCTGTTTTGCCAGGGCTCTGAAGCCTGTTGACAATAACCACAGCTTTGTGTAGATCTCTACACCCGCAATGAATCTAGTGAAGTGTAACCCACGGTTTTCAAAGAGATACTGGCCAGGCGTAGTTGTCTGAGTGTTCTGCAGGGAATCAAGTTCAGTTAAACACATTTGTCTCTGCAGCTAAGGTGGAAGTCTAGGAAAAGGGGTTTAATTTAATAAGCAATCATGACTTCAGACATTTGCTTGGTCGGGTGTTTCACTAAGTGTACAGTAGGTACTTAACAAATCGATGTGTGAAACTGCCGCATGTTGAGTCAATAGGATTGGCATATAGCGGTGTACCATTATGTCCAGTTCTATTTTGGTTTCACTTTTAGACTAGAATGTATCAACCTTTTTGGTGTCTGCAATGATGTGAACATCCTGTAAGTGAAAATAATATTCTCTCTTTCAAGTGGCTGCAAGAATCAGTGTAACTTACAGAATGTACAAATCAGTTACTCGATGTCCAGTTTGTACATTTCAATGAGTTTTCAGGAAGAACATACCAGTCAATAAAATCCTTTTACTTTTCACATTTTACTGGCACCTTGTATGTATTGCACCACCCATGTCTCCTCTCATCTTGCAGTGCTAATTATGGAAAATGTGAATAATTGTGGAGAATATTCCAGCTCAGTTAGCCACTGTCACTTCTCTGGGTTAGGGACAGCATTTCCCAGTATCCTGCTCTCTTTCCCCAAAACAAACGTACAAGATCTCCATTGCTGTTTTGCTGAGGTTCTAGAGATCGTAAGTGCTGTGGTGTTAAATACAAAATAGGTTTTCCTTTTGATTTGTCTCCACAAATTATACTTCATATTTCAGGTCTGATTTCTTCTGTATTCCCATGTGAATTTCTCTGCACTCTTGCCTATGCTTGAATTTCATCTTGTACAAAGTCAATATTTGATGTGATTCTTGCCTGTTTTCCGGTTTTCCTCCTGCTGCCAACTGATGATGGGATTTTACTGACTCAAATTCTGTACTAAATTAGCTTCCAGTTCTCAGCTTGGCTTACACATGGGCCACGTACATCAATGCAGCTGTTCCCTCTTGTAAATCAGCCCTGAGCAGTACTATCATCTGGGGCTATCATTTTTCCAGGCTTTTGGGTCTACTGTTTAGCTGCAAAAGGAAAAAGAGATGACAATATCAGCTTCCAGTCCTGGTTATTTCTCCCCTTGTCCTCCTGTTTCTAGTTCCTAGAGAATTCCTTGTAACTTACCCCTCACAACCAGCAATCTCAGTCAGAGACAAAAGGTGAAGACCATTTTTGGAGTTAAAGGATTTTGTGGGTTCTGATGCAATCCATGTTTCTTACCTTCAGCTGGGAGCACTAGGAATTCCAGTCAGGTAGAGCTCTTGTTGTTTGAGGATCACCAAGTTTTTCATGAATAAGGAATCCAAGGAATAACTGGATGTTCTGCAGGGTAACATCACACAAGTCTCTTCAGTCTTTATACACTCTAAGATCTGAATTCCCACTAGTGGTATTGTTATGTATTATGGAAGTGCCTCCTGTCATTCTGAGCTCTAAACTCGTGCTCTGGCTGTCATCAGAGAGAGACTGGTTCCTGTTATTTAGTTACAGATAACTATGTAAACTGGAATGTACCACAGTAGATAAATAAGTAATGCTGATCTTTCTTGCTTCCCTTTGCCTGAGCCCTCTCTGAAGTTGGGTTTTGCCCTGTTGTAAACACTATGGTGATTTTCCCTTCTTAATTTCATGGCTGATTCTGCCTTTTTCCTTTGTGAGCAATATGTCAGCATTTCTTAGAGCAGAGTTTGTAGAGTGCGGAACTGAAGTCACTTTCTAGTGCTTAGGGAGTAGGGGACGATGCCTGGAAGGGTCTCTTGTTCCACTGTAACAAAGACACAGTTAAAACTCAGGTTTAGTTGTGCTGTAGTCTTCCTAGAAAAGCTGCAAATTACAAGTCCCCTCATACAAATTGAATATATAATTTAAAGCTGGATAATAAATAAATGAAAGGCTTTATATGAAGTGGTGTGTCAGGAGACCCACCTGCAGACTAGGTACTACTGGCCTGACATGTGCTGCTCTCCTCATGTTCAGGTGAATCAGTAGCTTGGATGTAGCATTGGAATTTCCCTCATGCTGCTTTATTCCCCCCTCGTTTTTCCCAGTGTTTTACAGACAAAAGAGCTCAGCCACTCAAAGCCAAGTAATCCTTGTGGTGCCTCCTGCTCTAGAGGTCAGGCTTGATATTTGCCCAGTGGAAGGGGGGTGGTATTCTTTTCAAGCCAGTCAGACCTAAAGAGCTCTTGTGAAATCACTGGCACGACACCATGTTTCCATAGCACTCCGACTGGCAGAAGATCCCGCTGTGAATGTTAACATCTCTGTGGCACAGAGCCTGGGCACGGTCTTCTGCCTGTGCCATTAGTGAAATGACACACCAAAGTACGTCGGGGTGTTTGTCAGAGCAGGGCCGGTAGCTATAGCTGACGGGCTGGATGTTAGCTTGTTTTATTTGCAGCTAACAGACCCCACTTGTGCTTCCTAACTGTGGAATTGCAGAGGAGCACACTGAGTGAGAGCCAAAGGAGTTGATACTTGTTCTACTCATGCAGTCTTGACTAAACAAAAGCATGATTGTACATGAGCTGCCCTCGAAGCTGGCTGAGGGTTTTCTCAGGAAGAATTCAAAAGAGATCATGGTTGATACTCCCAGCAGCATTCTGTGAGCTGCCTGCCAGCTATTGTCTGCCTTGGCTTTGTGGAGTTCTTTACACTTGGAATACTCAGTACTGCTCTTGATATGTCTGTCTGCCTCCAAAAAGCAGTGTGTTCCTGGATTTGCTTCTTTTAACCCTTCCACTTCTCTCATATGTAAGTGCTGTTGTAACTTCAAGGGGTTATTGCTTCATACTTGTCACCAAAAATGTTAGGTGACATCACTAATAGCTGCCATTCCTCACTCCCTGGGGCTCTGTTGATGCTGCTTTCAACTATATCCATCCTAATGATGGTGCAGAATGGACAGAATTGGGATTTGGTTTAACTGTTGGTGATGCTCAGACAAGGAGCTCTCACTACACCTTGATTTGACCTTATTAATGAAGGAAATCTAGTGCAAGTTGTGCAAACCTGGGATTATCTTGTGGAGACAGTGTGAGATTTTGAAAGGCAGGCACAGCACTTGTTTCTCATCTATGAAATATGTGGTGGGATGAAAGAGAATTGGCACACTCAGCCTAATCTTCAGTTCCCAGAAAAATCCTGGCACTATTTGTAAGCACCCAGAAGATTGGAGCATGCATAGATATATTTTTTCCAGCACAAATTTTGTCATATCTACCGATCTTTCTCCTGTGATGGTATTAGGTAAATGAAGGACGTGGGAGATGTGACATACATTTTAACATTAGTAAAGCTTTTCACATTATCTGAGGTGAGATTCGTCTAAGTCAGGGAAATAAAAGTGCCACATCATCTCAGCCAAGCTGCTTATAAAGGCATACGCAGAAGAGCTGTAGGGAACTTGCTGGAAAAAAGCATTTATTAAGTCTGCTCTGTGTAAGGATGCTCTTGGATCAGACAGTGCAGCCACAAAGGGCAAATCCTTAAGAAACTGGGATTTGTTAGGTGAAGCTCAGATGGTACCTACTTAGAACAGGTGAGACTTCCTTCTAGCACAAGCAGTTCAAGCGTGGTCGATCCACGTTGAGGCAGAGGAAGAGGGTAAGTGTCACAGTGTTTTCTGAATCAGTAGACCATGTTTTTAAAGGTTGATGAATTAGCTTCCACCCAGTTACAGGCTGATGGGGATGGGTTGTTAAATTAATAAAACAGTGAAGTAAATGGTGTGTGTCCATGTTAACAAGATCACCCTTTTGAAGTTTAGTGATGTTGAGTCACAGATGACATCTCACGTTCTCCCGTAGGTGTATTTTAATGAAATCAGAGATACTTAGTAATGTTTCCTATCTGTCTGTTCACTGTTCAGCCTAGTTCTGAAAGCCTTTGGAATGGAAAGTACTATTTTGTTTTCCTTTTAGACTGTATTACTGTTAATTATTTAAACTTCTTGTTTGTGGCCCCTCTTCTGTGAGGGTGGTGAGGTGCTGGAACAGGGTGCCCAAAGAAGTGGTAGATGCTCCATCCAGTGTTCAAGGGCAGGCTGGACAGAGCCTTGGGTGACATGGTCTAGTGTGAGGCATCCCTGATGAGTTTCTACCTTTGCTTTCACTCTGAGTGAATAATCAACTGAATTCTTTCACCTTGGAAAAGATACTTCAAAAATCTGACCATTTTCATGACAAAAGATTTGAGTAGAATGGTGCCAATTGCAACACAAGTTTCAGGGCAGAGATGAGGGTACCCAAACCCCAGAATCATTACAAAATCCAGAACAAAACTTTGCAAACAAATAAATGTTTAATTGCATTGTATAATGGATGTAGATTGGTTAAATATATTATTTTACTGTATAATTTATCGCTCTTCCAGTTCCTTTAGCAGTTCGTCAAAGTGAGTGATGTACCATTTAGCTTTCTCCTTTACTTGCTTTCTGATTACGTTTCCTCCAAATCCAATGAAACAGTCCTGGCAAAACAGAAAGAAAAGGCACATAAATCACTGCAGTCCCGTGTACTGGGAATGGAATGGAGCTTCTCAGCAATTCAGTTTGATTTTAAAATGCCACTGTTCCTCCCTGCCTCTTCTCCTGCTTTACTCTGCATATTCATTTTTCAAATTCATTAACAAGAACTTCATTACATTTGATTTTGCACCACGTTGGTTACTGCAGTTTTGTTCCAGTAGGAAAGTTGTGTTTCAGTGGCTTCAAGATTGTTCAGATTTGAGATTTTACTGAAGATCTGATGTGAACCGTGATGCAGCATAAGGCCTTACTACTCAAGAATGAGTTAACATCCCAACATGCATGCAGCATCTCACAATTATCCTTATACTGTTTACCTTAACTCTGTTTACCTCATTTGATAGATACCCAGAGTACACATTAACCATGGCTTCAATCATTAACCAGGAGCAATCATCATTTCTACATCTTAGAAAACCATCTGCAGTGAAAGTGGGGTGTGTAAAATTTCCACTGCTGCTGGTTTGTCCTTAGGTAGAAAGCATGAAGCACACACTGAGAAGCTTTGGTCATGCTCATGTTTAACAGTAAGGGACCAGCTGTCATGACTTGCAGCAGCAGCAGCTCTCTCAGAGTTTGCCCCTGTGCATTTCCATGCACTGGGGGATCTGTCCCTCAGAAGGGGTGTCAGGGTGCTTTTACACAGAAAAAGGCACTAGAGGGGAGATGGAATTAAGATCTCTTCTGCAAAATGATCATTTATAAAAGTTGTCTATTGATTTTGTTGTTATTTCACCCTGTTAGGGCTGTCATCCTGTCAAAGGTGTCATCACTATACAGTGACATGAACTCACTTGCTAAGCCAGTGTTGGGTAAATGTGCACCAGATCTGTGCCAGACCTTCATGCTAAGCACCGTTAATCAGTGTTCAGAACTAGGACCTTGGCAGGGTATGACCTCTGCACCAAAGTGAGCACTTGCTGTGGAGACACAGGGGAGAAGGAGAACGTGATAATATCACCTTGATTTAGGATAGGTTGCTTGGCTACTAAACAGTCCTGCTAGACCCAGGAGCATCCTGCCTTAGAGGGTAATACTTACTGAGATTATCTGAATGGAGAGAAATGAACCATTGCATGATGCAGGCTTTCTAGAGGAAAACTACCTACACAGGTCACTTTTAGGTTGTGGGATGTGCTAAAGATCTTCCCTGAAGTCCTGTAAAGAATTCAAACCACAGTTTTCATCTGCCTCTGTGTGTGTGTGTGTGTGTGTGTGTGTGTCCCGCAAAGGATTTGCTCAGAAGGAATTTAGAATTCTAGTTCTTTAATACTTACAGCAGGGGGACAGGCTTCCATGTCTGTAGCTCCATCTCCAATCATAACTACTTTCTTAAAGTGGAACTGTTCCTTCAGATGAGAAATAACCTTTCCTTTCCCCCCTGATTCAGCTGTTGGTTGTGTTTCATCAAACCCTGCGTATTCTCCTAGAGCACAGTAGAAGAACAAGTTAGAGACACAGCAGTTTCTCTTGTAAGTGAAGAAAGATTAAATCCCTATGGTCTTTACTTCAGAAAATGGCCAGTTACATGCAGTTGTGTAAGCCTCACAATATCAGCATCCCAAAAAAGTAATTAGAAGGTAAGCTGGTAAAATCCTAGTGAAGACGAGGATTTTACTCCAGTCTTCAGTGGGGATATTTTTAAAGACCCAAAATGCTAAGACAAAAGTAGAAACCCTGTATGGGTGCTGTTACAAATTCACTCCCGGTCACCATGGTGTAAACATTCCAAAAGCAGCATCTAGTATGATGTATAGATTGTATGAAACACTGAGTAAGAAACAAGCCACTAACTATAGCTCTGCTTGATTACACTAGCTTAAAGACCAGAGCAGCTCTACTAAAGTGCATCGGTCTCCACACGTACCTCAAAGTCACCAAAAGTGAAGTTTGCCTCTGAAAGCAGGTAAGTGGAAAAGACTCTTTTAACTTGAAGGAGCAAGAGAAAATGAAACTCTGCTGTCAGCAAATGTAAGGTTCTTTACCTTTGGCACAGCTTGCAATTAAAAAGTTAACTACAGCTCTGTTTTATATGACTGGAAAGTGGCCTAACTCATGTTTTTGGTAAGGTCTTGAAGTTTTCCTACTTGAAGCTACTGGATTGGTAGCAAGTAGGTCTAGGCTGGGCAGTATCTATAGCCCAATATCTGGCAGTTTGAACCAAAAAAGTGGCATTAATGAGCAGAGAAAAGAGACTTTATGGGAATCTCACCATTAAAGTAAAACTTCAGCCTGTTGGCAAAGACGTTTGCTGTAGGAATGTTCAGCTGCAAGGCCACGTGCTCCACGATGCTCTGAAACCCTCCAGAGACCAGGAATACCTGGACCCCTCGTTGATGAAGCCTGCTTACCAGCTCCCTGGACAGAAAGAGCATCACAAGTGTGAGTGCCTGGCAGCATGTAGGGATAACAGGAAAGGTAAAATACATCTGTCCTAAACAAGGTTGTCCTTACGTAGTGTTATTCCAGTTTAGTTCAGATGTGTGCTGCTTCCATCTCTGCTGCCCAAAGCTTTTCCTTTTTTCCCTCGGCTTTGTGCATAGACTTGCTTGAAAAGAGTTAAACAAACCCATCTCATCTAGAGACATATAGATGTTAGTTGCTCAGAAACAAGCACTTCCTAGAAGTGGTCTCTTTACACTTTCATGCTGTTTGCCTTTGTTCAAATGAGTGTGGATCCAATTTACGGTATTTTTTGCTGAAGTAAAACAACACCAAGACAATGAATCTACAATGCAGGAAAAAGATAGGGAATGGGGAGAGAAAGCCACTGCATCACAGTGCTGAAGTGGGCTGAGAAGTGTGCAGAACGCACACCCTGGAGTTGGTTCCCCAGACACTGGACATTGGTGCCATCTTTAGAAGAGGGCACCAGCAACACAAAAGGAATCAGAAAAAGAAGCTTTTGGACCAAGTTAATGTCAACAGGGCTTGAAGGTGGTTAAAAGTTTTATGGGCTTTGGCTCATAAGCAGGAGGATCAGCATGCAGCTGTGCTGAGCTGGAGAAGCAGCAGGAACAGCAGAAATGCTGAATGCTATAAAGCAAAGTGAAGGCTTAAAGCAGGCTCCACAGAAAAGGAGGAAGAAAGGGAAGGAATGAAAAGGGAAATCATGTGATTCCAAACAAGCAATCAATGTTCTCTTTGTAGTTGCATTCTAGCTATGCCTTCTACAGAAAAAGCTGAGCATGTGCTTAATTTCAAGGAGAAAATACAAGCACATTATCACCTCAAACTACTGTATGTGCTAACTGTGTTTTAGACTCAGAGCTTTGGGCAGGCTTTGTAGTGAAGAAATCCTTTTCAATTGTTTGAAACAATTTGAATAGGAAAAAAAACCCCAAACTTTTCAGTTTAAATAGTTAATTCCAAACCCAAAGATGGATGAATATGCACATATATGTCTATTTCCCCTTAATGACTGTTTAATAGTTTTTAGGGACTTCAGTGCATGGGTAGCTCTGAACAGTGGATCTCCTAAGCTGAGTCCAGAGATGTGACTGCACATGGAAGTGTAAGAAAGAGGTAATGCAATTGCAGAACAGACCAAACCAGTAGTTCATACTGGGTATTAAATCTCCATCACCTGTCAAAAAACAGACCTGACTGAACAGATTGTTTTCCATACTGTTTAATCCTCAAGCCAGCATTTGAGCTTGCTAGCCAAAATGATAGTTAATACAGAAAACAGTTTTCTTTTTACATGGATGCTCAGCCACTTGACATGGACTCAAGCCATTATAAGCTCCTGATACAAGTTTTGGACACAAACAACATGGAAATGGAGCAGGAAGTGAACCTAAACCAGCTCTGTGGTCTTACAGCCTCACCAGTGTCACTGAATTTTACTGATTTATGCCCTTTTGTGCTTTTGGAAGTGAGCTCATTTGAAATTCTCCTTACCGTATTCCTGGTGTTAGCTGAGGTGGGTTGTCCGATATTAGTTTCTGCACTTGCTCATAGGAGGGACGTATGAGACCGAGTCGTGCTGTTAAAGCTGCTTTGAATGTCACAGTGCCACCCATAGCTCTGCGGGTCCTATGTCGTGAGCCAGAAGAAGCAAGATCAACACTTAAGTTGAGCTTTCTCCCAAGAACAGTTAGTTAAAGCATGACAAGGAACAAGGTCAGAGACCATAGGTTCTAGGTTATACTGTACAGAACATTGGTACACTGAAAAGACTGGTAGCAACCACAGGGGGAAGGTCTCCACAGATCTGAGCTCTTGTGAGAACCAGAGAGGCAAGGGAAAACTGCTTCATTCTCTAAGTGCATATGAGCCACTGGGACCAGTATTCCTGAACTGCAGCTGAGGTGCCTTTCTCTGAATTTAACAGAACTTTTGCTAAAAGCATCAATAGAAACGACATCAGTCTCAGGGAAATCATAAGAGAGTTGTCCCCTCTCCACTGTCTCATATTACAGTTCCCTAGGGCTTACAAAGTTTAATGGTGAGAGCTGATCTTAAGTCTGTCAAAGAAATATACATTAGAGAGTTTCTCAATATAGTTTTGTTGAGTGGCTTCACAGTTCCAAAAGAAGTTATTCCATTTTATGCATTCATTCCACTTACTATTCCTAAAATCCTTTTTAAACTATGATAATCTATGACAGAATTAATCCCTATTGTAAACTCGTTGTCACAGATTACCCTTACCCATGCTCATTTTTTACCACTACTTTGAAGTTAACAGCAAACACACATACATCTCTGCGACGGCATCTCCGACTCCACAGAACTTCGCGAGCTCATCGATGCCTTCTTCCCTGATGACTGTACTGTCCACATCAAAGCAGACTGCGTCAGCATTCCGGAAGATCTCTTTCATCTCCAAGAGGGATGCCATCCTTTTAGGAACCTTCTTACTGTGAGGGGACAAGATAAAGTCTTTCTCTGAGTGGCAGCACTGCACTCCGTCTTGAGCCATTGGTGCAACTGCTCTGGTTCTTGCGAGAAGGGACGAGCACAGCCTGGTGGGCAACTTATATCAAAGGGGGAGCAGTGGTGGAGGTCTGGCTCAGTTGCTGATTTGCTCTCTGCTGTTGCTGCCTACTGATGTTCAAATTACGTTACAGATGGGCCGTGGAGCTTTGGTCAGTTGCTGATTTGCTCTCTGCAGGCTCGGCCCATTGATGTTCACATGGGGTTCAAGGTTGTAATACTTGGCATTTGCTGAACCATCTGACTGCCAACTGCTGTGTGGGACATGCAATTGTCTGTCTCATCTTGCCCTTATCGCTCAATTTGATCTTGATTTCTCATCAGACCCAGTCTAGTCCGTCAAATTAGTTTCCCCAGGAGACAGTAAAAGACACCCAGCCCTTAAGGATTTGCTTGATCACAACAGACATAATTATCTTAAACCTATCAGTGTGTGGTTGTCCCTAAATCATGAAGGTTTAGATTCTTTTATCTGTCCTTATTAATGCAAACTAAATATTTTCATCATCCATGAATGCATTTGGCCATTAGCATTGGGAATTAGTCTAAAATCCATTAAAGTCTTGGGCTTTGGTAATTTCACTCAACCCACTCAGACACCACATCATCATGCCAACTTTTTCCATTACAATGCCTGACAGAAGTTTATGTTCTTCCTTTTTTTATCTGTCCTCTCAAATATGTTGAGCACTTCTGCAGATCAGAAGCATGAGGTGTTAATCAACTATTTCCTTATTCTACCCCGCTCATCTTGTGCTTCCCTCTTTTCACGAGGGAATTCAGTGCGGACTTCACTATTTATCAGGGTGTACATTTAGAGAGAAAGCTGTTATTTATCTCACTTCCCAGATGTTTGTGTAAGTTTTTGGTTGTTTCTTCTACTCTCTTAGATGTCCCTCAGGACACATCTTGTGTAACTGATCTGGGTAGCAGATTCTCTCCTTTTCTGGGATAGGGGAAAAATACCATCTATCAGCATGTTATCTACCTTCCTTGTGCTCTATACCTTCATCTTTTGTTTCACCTTACTGAGCTCATATATTTTCCTCCTACATGTCACATGAATTCTGATGGTGAGAAGTCTTATACACACAAGTTCCCCCAAAACCACCAATTTTTTGCCTTTTTTGGAAAACTTTACAGTTCATGGCCAGGCAGGAGTCATCCAGGGATCCATATGGTAAGCACCAGCGCTGCTTCCTGAGGTGAATTCTGTGTGCTCACTGAGAGATCACAGCTAAATAGTTACTGCTCAAAGCAGGAATAGGAACCTTTGGGTTTATTGTAATGGCTAGTAACTGGTGAATATTGGGAGACAAAAGGCTTTCTGAAAAATTACCATAATCACTGCAAAAAATGGATAGAACACAAGAACACACACTCATCTTTGATCTGTTCAGGTACAGAATAAAAGAGACTACTCCAGTCCTTCACTGAAAACTAAAAGTTTATAAATGAAGCCACCAAACCTAAGCGGTGAAACCTGTTGTGAACAGCTAAGAGCCATATTTGTAAGAGATAATCTCTGTTTCACAAATGGGTGATATGAAATAGCAAGAAACAGAGAGAGCAAGTCACATTAAAGGCAAAGCTATCCAACAGCAGCCATGAAACTGCCCTCAGAGGGTCATTCTAGCTATTCTTGAGTTTTTGGTGTGAACATATTACTGTAATAACCAAAGTGGGCTCATGGCTTTTGCACAAGGCTGAGGTGCCAAAGTAGCTTCCTCAGTGCTCATTTGTATTGCAGGTGTGAGGATGGGCGAGCAGGTATCACCCAGCCCACACTTTTCTCCTGTGCATTCAGTTTAGGTGTGGGAAGGTAGGACAGAGCCTGGGCTCAACCTCCCCACTGTGCCAGCAAGGAAAGGTGAGTGGCTATGCAGCAAATAGGAGATACTCCAGGAAAGGGCTTTTACAACCCCAGGCTCTGGGAAGGGCAGGCACAAGGACTGAACCAGAGTTTGACAGGTCTCTGCTCTTCGTACATCAGGGCTGTTCTGTGCATGGATATAGTATAAAGATCTGTTCCAGCCTTAGAAGCATCACTAAAGAATTATTTGCTGCAGAGAGCATCTTGGGTTTTATGCTTTTCTATAAAGACTGCACTATACATGTAAGAATCACGGTTATAGGCCAGCAGCATGGCACGTCACAGAAACCTCTCTCTCTGAAGTGGCCATGGACATAAAGAGACTGGTTGTGAGCTAAGAGTTGGCAGTGAGTGGACAGGTGACATGTGAATTCAAGTATGCTTTGTGTTAGCCTTGACTTGACATTGGCTCCATGGCACTGTGTCTGTATTTGAAGTGGCAGGTTTTGACTTCTGAGCAGGAGGGCTTTGACTTCAGGGCAAGACTTGGCAGCATTTGCTAGATATATTTGTGCAGTGGGATCAAAAAGAAACCAAACACCCACTAACATATTTTAAGTGGCAGGGCATTAATTTTTTCCAGCCTCTTGGACATTGTAACATCCACCAAAACTTCAGCCATTGGTTTGGAGCCAGTTACAGAGATTTGCTCTACTGGACAAACTTGTTGCATCACTGTGGTGTAACATCTGCGTCACAGTGTTCCAACACTGACTCCTTATTATGCAAAGCCATCACATTGCCTCATACTAACCTGAGGCTGCACTGCAACAGTGCCACATTATGATGCAATGTCACTGTGTGGGGACACTGCACTGGGATTGTTTTTTCTTGGGAAAAAACTGAAATGTATTTCTGGATACATCAGAATTTTAATCACTCTCAGAAAAATGTTATCACTGGAAACACACAATGGGAACAGGAAGGAAGAGACATTCACTTTTCCTTCTCTCTGGTATCCGCATTTCCCATACTCCTTTTGCTTCTGCATACTCCTTACAATGACTAGGCCACTGTTGTGGTGGACTTTGATGGACAAATAGAGAAGTTAATGGAAGAACTATGGATCCCAGTTGTGGAATGGTTGGAATTAACCCTGTCCTCTCTTTCTTCCGTGCGGTAACTCTTTCAGAAGAGTTTCAAGCTGTGGTTTATGGTGCCTAAAAATGACAAGTTGGAAAGGTTGTGTTTTGAAATGCAGCAACCATCAGTAGCTCCTGATCTCCCTTGGCCTGTGACCTGCTAAAATCTTTCCACTTTCTCCTACAGCTGGGCACTGGGTCCTGGAAAACAGACCTGGGTTTGGCTAAGGTACCGTCACACCTGTGATGAACTGTGAAGTAGGGAAGCTCACGCAGGAGCAAAGAGAAGAACCTATGAAGGAAGCTTCAACTATTGTAGGGAATCTTGATGGTGGGAAAATCAAATCTTAGGAGTTCAAGGTGGCTCACTTGGAGTGAAATAAAGTTCTTCTGTCCTTGATGGCAGAGCTCCAGTAGTCACCAGCAGCTCCACAGGCTGGCAGATGCCATTCCAAATGGTAACATGCCAATTTCAGTCACTTGTGATTTATTTTTTCCCAGCCCTAAATCTAGATGAGAACAACTTTCACTTGGAAATATACTTCAATGTTTTAATGAACTGGTAAGAAAAAAGAAATTCCCACAAATAAGGAGCTCTGTCTCCATGAGAAAAACATGGGTAGAAAATTTCTCATCTTTCTGCCACTGAATTTCAGGTAAATAATCTATTCCTATCCTATTTCCGTGCTGGAAAAGCATCCGA